AAGTGTAAAATTATTCTTACCATAAACTTGAGTAAATACGTTTAAAATTAGCTTAAGATTATTTTAGTCCACAGGTTTGCAGCAAATAAAATTAACTTACGCGTATATGATTTGTTATTGTCTAATGACATCAATAACAAATAGTTATTTTTAATTGGACTTACCATGTTTTAGTGCTGAGTGAGTAGTATGTGGCTATGCAAGATGATAAAGTCAAAGAAAAAACTACTATATTTTTTGTATTTTATGAGATCTTTTAGCGTAAAAAATATAATATTCTAAAATCGTCAACAATTTATATTCTTGAGTTTTATTCAATTATATTATTTAATTAAGTGTATTAATGCAATGCTAAAATAGTGAAGTAGTGCCTTGATGGGTAAGTGTCCCTAAAATCCCATATATAAATCAAATTACCTGATTATTAGAACTTAAATGAACTAACAAATATATTATCTATATGCCATAACTTCTCCGTAAACCATATTTTCATTTTATAGGAAAAGTCTTAGGTAGGCCCTAGCAAGTATTTAAGTTTAATTCTAAAATATTGGGCTGAATAGTAAGAGTTGGATCTCAAGTATATGTAAAACATGGGAATAACTGAATAATTATCAACGATTACTATCATCTGATTAACAAATGTACAATTGTACATGTCAAAAATAAATTTTTTGACCCGACACTTTTATACATGCGGGTGGCTGAAGGGTACCTTGCACCCCCCCCCCAAACGTATCAACCATTTGAGATATTTGAAATTGGTTTGTGGCAACCTTCTTAGATATGAGGGGCTACAATAATGATGGTTAATTTTGAATTTATCCCCTAGGGTTGCAGGGGTAGGTGGGAGGGGGTAGCTCAAAGTACTTGCCGTTTGAACATTTTGAGCTACCCCCTCTACCCCTAAGGGCATAATTTTCAAAATTAACCATAATTATTGCAGCCCCTCATTTCTCAGAAAGTACCGCAAGCCGATTTCAGATATCTCAAGAGGTTCAATAGTTAACGGTGGGGTGCAAGTTACTTTTCAGCCACCTTGTTTAT